ATTAATACAATACATACGTGTTCCTTGTCGATAATATCAACCAATAGTCAATCTAGCATCGACGGACCAAAACCCAAATTACTGATGAAAGGGTGGCCTGTAACTTAATTATTGGAAACATGAATTTTCTCAGTAAAGTTACCAACGCTCTTTTTGTCAGTAATTTCCCATTCCCTAACCCAACCCTGTGACTTCGGCTACCTGCGACTGGGGCTGCAGCTTTTTAACCCAATATCCCGACATTACTCGTTGGTAATTTCCCAATTTCCAACTCCTTGTGAATTCGACTGTTGGTGCCTAATTTTGCAACTTTTTATTTAGATTACTGATAAGATTTTCGTCAGTAAGAGATATTTTCCAAGCAAAGATTTGTCAGTGATTGTTTCGGTCAACGAGAATTTTGAAGCAATATAGAGATGATCAACTTTAAATGTTAGCAATGTGGATCTCGTCAATAAGGGTCCCTATTCCCTGCTAAACCCCCTTCCTCTTTCATTTTGGTCTTCCTCCTTTCATTTTCATTTTCCTCTTCTGTCCACAAGTTGTTCTTGCTCTCCTTCCCTCTTCCATTCTTTCCTTCGTCGAATCACTGAACATTTTTCTTGTTACAGTGTATTAGATCAAGCAATGGTAAGTGAAACTTAAGTAATATTATTATTTTTTATATATTTTATGTATGTTTTATTTTTTCTGAAATTTAAACCATCAAATATTGTCAGTAATTAGTTCATTGGATATTAGTTAATATTGTTAGATTTTTTTTAATAAATTTGATGAATAGTTAAGAATAATGTTTTAATAAATTTTTAGTGAAATTTCAACCATTAATGATGAAATTTTTATATTAAGTATTTAATATTAGCTAGCATTTTTAGATTGATTTGTTGTTTTGAGTACGTTTTAGGCTCAATATGATTTTTGTGCATTTTGAAAGTTTTACGCAATTTTCATGTCTTATCGTTTTCTGCATTTTTTATCTCTTAACTATAAAACAATGTATTTTTCATAGTTGAAGATTAAAAAAATATATAAAAAAGTTGAGAGACAAAAATTATGTAAACTTTAAAGTTGAAGGACCTAAATTTTTTGGTTAAATAACCATGTTAGTCCCTCAACTTTTTGATTTAGGTCAAAATTATGCTAAAACTTAAAATAATCCCTAAAAAAAAGTTTAGTACCAATTTAGTCCTTAAAATTTGAGGACTTAGACCTTAAAACTTTGATTATAAGTACTAATTTATTTATTCAACTTTATAAATACAATTGAAAAAATATATCATGATAGTAAAATATAATTGTTTAATTTTATATTATTAATTTTTGAAAAATAAACTGATTTTATGGCAAAATAATGAATCAAGTAACACTTTTCGTTAAGATAAGGACTATTTTGGTATTAAATATTAAAGTTTAGCGATAGTTTCGATATTTTTTAAGTTTAAGGATAATTTTGGTATAAATCTAAAATATTAGGGACTAAAAATGGTATTTCAACCTTACTTTTTAGCAATTTAATAATTGATCTTATTTTATTGTTGTATCTATTTTAAGTTGTATTATGTTAATTTTAAATGTAATTTTTATAATTTAATGACATATAAAGAAATTTCTTATTGAATATATATATAAATTAATATTTTAATAATTATTTTGTAGGTTAATACTTGAGCTCTTGTGGATCCTCATTAATTACACAGTAAGTTTCATTTTCATTATATTTTTATAATTGTATGGTTAAATATTAATTTTTTATTAAATAAAAAATCAATAATTTGTGTATGATAAATTTTGTTGATGAATAAATTTAATATATATATGTATGATAAATTAGGGTTTTAACCCAACTATAAAATATGTAAAAGATATTATAATTATTTTGAAACTAATCATGTTATTATTTTTATTTTATTGATTTAATAAGATTATGGAGGATCATAGTTGGATGTATAGACGTCGAACTCCATGAGAAGAGATATATAATGAGTTCTATAATGAAGTTGAATATTTCTTTCAATTTGCATGCAATAACCTTGGTTTTCAACTGAATGATTTAATTAGATGTCCTTGTACTACATATTTTAATTTACCATTGATGACTCGGGGAATGGTATGGGACCATCTTATTAAGTATAATTTTATGAATGCTTATTCTGTTTGGTGGGCGTATGGTGAGACATTTGTGAATTCAGCAGATCCATGGTTTGATACTAATCTGGGAAAATCATCACACAACCAAGATACACACCATGATGAAAAGAATGACTTTCGTGAAATGGAGTATGATGCATTTTGTTCAGAGGATGATGATGGTCGAGAAATAGAAGGTAATTTCCCCAATTAACATCTGGACGAGGAACCAAACAATCTAGCAAAGGCATTTTATGACTTGCTTCATGCATCTATAATTCCACTTAGTAGTTCTAAAAGAAATGAGACAGTGTTTAGCTGGCTCTCTTATATGTTGCATACAAAGATTGCAAATAATATAAGTACTAATGGTTTTAATGCCATTCTCAAAGGATGTAAGAGGTTGTTAAGTGCTGAAGATCAAGAAAAAATTCCTGCAAACTTTTATGAAGTACAAAAAATATATGAAAGGGCTTGGGTTAGGTTATGTAAAAATTGATACTTGTGTTAATAACTGCTTTTTATATTATGGAGAGCATACTAAAACATTGACTACATGTCCAATTTGTGGAGAAGCGAGGTATAAACAGAGAAATCCAGGTAGGACAAGACAAAACGACATTCCAAGAAATTCTCTTTGGTACTCGCCAATAATACCTCACCTTCAAAGGCTATACATGTCTCAAAAAGTAGCTGAGTACATGACATGGCATTTGAAATGTTGTGGTGATACAGATGAAGTCATTCATCTAGCACAATCAGAAGCATGGAGACATTTTGATCAAATGCATCCTTCTTTTAAAAGAGAACCTCATAATGTTCGATTAGGTCTTGTTACTGTTGGTTAACCCATGGGCTCATTCTTCAACCTCCTACTCTTGTTGGCCAGTTTTTTTTTATTGTTTATAATTTATCGCCAGAGATATGCATGCGACTAGAGTTTACTTTTCTTACATTGGTCATTATAGGTCCAAAAAGCCCATGTAGAAATATCGATATTTTCCTTCGACCTTTAATTGAAGACTTGAAAATGTTATTGTCGAATGGTGTAGAAACATGATAGTTATTGTAAGCAAAACTTCATAATGCGAGTTATGTTGATGTGGACCATAACTGATTTTTCGGGTTATGGTATGATATTTGGTTGGAGCACTCATGGCCAATTGTCATATTCTTACTGTATGGAGATGACACGATCTTTTTATCTTCAAAATGGTTGGAAACCATGTTTTTTTTACTATCATCTCCAGTTTTTACCCGAATCACATCCTTTTAGATTTGATTAGAGTAATTTCTTAAAGGGTCATATTGAATTAGGTGGTCCCCCTCTTTAATTGGATGGTATTTCAATGTGTCACCAAGTTGAAAACCTTCCTGGTGTGTTGTTTGGGAAACCCTTTGAAAATCGAACAATTGAGGGTTTTGGGAACATCCATAATTGGGTGAAAAGATGCATTTTTTAGGAACTTCCTTATTGGCATAATAATCTTATTCGGCATAATATGGATGTAATGCATTGTAAGAAAATTTTTTTTAATAATATAATACACTGTTATGAATGACAATAAGACAAAAGACAATGGGAAAGCAAAATTGGATTTAGCCATTTATTATGATCGAAGAAAACTGCACATGAGATATAATAAGCATAGTAAACTTGTGAAACCTAATGCTAGTTATGCATTGACATTAAAAAAAAAAAAAGCTTTTATGTGCATGGCTAAAACAGTTGTGCTTTTCAGATGGGTTTGCTATCAACATATCAAGATGTGTCAACTTGAATGAGTCTAGGCTATTCCGGATGAAAAGACATGATTGTCATGTTTTCATGCAACAACTAATTCCAGTTGCTTTTCGTAGTCTATTGCCATCTGCTATTTAGGGTCCTTTGGCCAACATTAGTAACTTCTTTCGTTCACTTTTTTCCCCGGTCATTAGAGTTACTGAGATGCATAAGTGGGAGACAAAGATTGTTGAAATAATTTGTAAGTTAGAAATAATATTCCCCCCAACATTCTTTGATTCTATGGAGCATCTAGCAATTTATCTTTCATATGAGACCAAAGTTGGTGGTCCTATTTAATTCCATTGGATGTACCATTTGAAAGGTAAAGTATACAAAGAAATTGATAATATTAAAACTTGCTTTTGATTACTTTTTTTTAAAATTAATCTTATTAGTATTTTCTTTTAAGCGCATGCGCAAACTTAAGAGTACCATAGGGAATAAAAATTATGTCAAGGCATTAATTGTCGAGGCATTAATTGTCGAGGCATTTATATTATATGAGATATCCCACTTTTGCTCTCGTTATTTTGGGGACAATGTTGAGACAACCTGGAATCAACCTCTAAGGAACTATGGCGGCATTAGAACCAAAATCCTAGGTAAGTTATCCGTATTTTGTTCCCCTTGTGAATCAATAGGTGCCTAATCACGTACACGATGTTTAACATTGGAGGAGAAGATGCAGTTGAATTATATGTCTTGCTAAATTGCAAGTAGGTTGATGTTTGGGTAATGTAAGTTTTACCTTTTCTTAGGAAAATAATAGCCTATATGATTTTCACAACGTTTTAATTAATAAATAAATATTATTTTACAATAAATTTGAGGAAGAAGTTGGTGCAAATTTACCATATAAACAACTACAAAGATTGCGAACAAATAATTTTGTTTCATGATTTAAAAATATGGTAATAAATTGTTATATATTATTTTCTCAAAATTTTAATTAAATAATAAATATTACTAAATTAAATTTTTTTTCAAATATAAGTGTTTAGTGGACAATATGAAATCAATGAACAACTTATTCACCTTGCAATTGGCCCAATCTTTGAAGTGAATGTTTATAATGGGTTCTACGTGAACAACTTCAGAATTTTTACTGAAAAGTTTACTAATAATAGAAACACATATAACTGTAGTGTTTGTGTTAAAGGAATTACCATTAATTCTACAGATGAAACTGATTATTATAGTGTCTTAAAAAAAGTGATCGAGTTATTGCTTCATGGATACTCAAGCCAACAAGAGACTGTAATATTATTTAATTGTGATTGGTATGACACGGCCCAAGGAATACGTGTCAATGTTGAACATGGAATTGTTGATGTCAATCCAAGGTTTAAGCTAACAACAAGGGAGCCATTTTGCCTTGCTAATCAAGCACAACAAGTTTATTATACTCTATATCCGGCAACCACAGATAGAACTACCCGGGGATGGTTGGCAACATGTAAAATCAAATCTAGACATCTAATGACACCTCATCTACCTCATCTTCATGAGAGGTTGATGACATTTTTCAAGATGATGACCCCCTCATAATGCAAGGCTCTTCATTATCTATATATTTAACTGCATACCAATTACTTCAACTATGTGCAGAAGGTATTACAAAAGAAGTTGAAGTTGATGTTAATACATCTAAAGAAGAAGAGGACTATGGAGAAGAAAAAGATTTAGAATCCTCGAAAAATAGTGATAATGTTGAGAATGATGATGACAACGATAATAATGATGATTAATTGAAACATTTGTATTATTACTCATTAAATATGTGTATTAAAATTTATTTGTCTTATATATATTGTTTTATCAAGTTATATATTTTTCATATAAAATAGAATCATTGTATGATTGTTCTAAATTTGTTACTTGTTATTTGTATAAATGTATCAATAACTATTTTGTTATTCATTTTTCAAGATGTTTGGAAATCCTGCAGGTTCAACAAGGAGGACATCTTCCTCCAAATAAACATGTTCAGCCCTCGCTAGAATATTAACACAACATCGCAATTTATGTCAATCTCTCATGATCGAACACCTCTAATTTTATTCTCATATAAAACTAAGCATTTCATCCTCTTTATCGTTGTCGGCAAAACCCCAAAACTGCAATATTCATTTATTTATTTATTCTTTTCTTCTTTTTGAATTTTAGCATTAATCCGGATTGGGTATACATATATATATATATACCAATTAAATATACACACATTTACATATATTTAAAGCTTCCCAAACTCACGGAAAACAATGGGGAGCATGGCTTTTATTCAATTTTCCATCTTTGGCAAAGCAGTAGCTAATCAAGGAAATTTTCATAATTTTCGTTGCCACAAATTTCCATCTACCAGCAATCAATCAGAACAATTTCTCCAGGATAACTAAAATGGCATAAAAACAACTTCAAACAGCAAAAATGATTCCTGGGACAACCGCACAGAATTCTACACGAATTAGCAACCCAAAACCCATTTTATGCTACTGAATTCTTCCATATTTCTGTAGAAATTCGGACAGCATTCGGACAACACGGGGCAGCAACAAATTGATAAAATTCAACAACACAAGGCAGTAATTAATTGATGAAATTTCACGCTTGGAGGGTTGTTAACTTACCAGAATATTTCCGGCAATAGAAGCCGGATCTGGCGAGCTTGGCAGAAATCGGGAAAGGGGAAGGGATGTCACGGGAGCTACCAAAATTGAAGGAACAAGAGGAAATTAGAGTAAACCCAACCTAATTCAAGGTTAAAGAGAGGGATTCATGGCTGAATCTTACTAGAGAAATGCCCAGAAATTCGTACCTAGCAGCACCGGCGGACAGGGGAGGAAGAGCCGAGCAAATCTGGAAATTCCTACTTCAAAGGGAGGGTTCTAGGTCCTAAAATCAGTTCTTTAACAAGAAAAGGAAGGGAAAAAATCAAGCTTGTTACCAATTTTCTCAAGAAATAGAAGTCGGTGGCTTGGGGGGAAGCTTGTCGGGCTACACGAAGAAGAAGAGCAGAGCAAAAACGTGTATGGCTGGGAAGAAAAGGAATAAAAATATCAGCTAATCCTTATCCTAATTTCCTTTCTTTTAAGTCCCTGAACTTTGAAAATTTTTGCTATTACATTCATTAATGATATTTCTTCACAATTAAGTCCCTAACTCACACTTTAATGCTCTAGAAATTTTGGGGTATTACAAAAATAAATAGATTTAGCAATTTCTAATAAAAATAAATAATTTTATTACTAAACTAGAATTTGCATTTCTCACACATCTAATGTTATTCATTTCTTATTTTGTAAACAATTTACTAGTGGGATCCTGTAGATAATGGCTATGTACAAGATGCATTCCTAAATTGTATGAAACATAGATGGAGTGACAATCTTAGGGATGAGAAGTTGAAATGGGAGAAGGACTCAACCTATGTCCCATGTTGGATCCCAGCTCATATATGGTCTCAACTGCTAACATATTGGGATTCTAATGAATATAAGATGCTCAGTGCAAGGGGAGCAAAGAATAGGAGTTCTAAGGAGAGGCTGACTCACACCACTGGGTCTATTAGCTTTGGCATTCATGAGATGCGAACGGTAATCAAGCTTAATTAATAAAAAATTAAATATATTAAATTTTATTTAACAATAAATTGTGTCAATTTATACTAACCAAGAAATTACATTATCAATATTTTGAAATACAGATTGACTCTAGAGGTGGTGTGCAACCTCCCCATCAGGAGAAGTTTAAAGAGACACACACCTTCAGAAAAAAGGCAGGAAAGGATCAAGAGCCGACGTGGATTAATGAAAAAGCAAACCATCGATATGTAAGTATATATAACATATAAATTAGGATAAAATGTATAGTTATAAGTGTTGAAAAAATTTATGTAATTAATTTAAATTATTTAGCAAAGTCTACCTTTTTTATAGATTATTTTCAAACTGCTTTTGACAACATTATTATTATTACTATTATTTTTTCAAGATACTTATGTTGCGAAGTGCACAAAGAGCCATGGCTTTGATGTTAGTTCGTGGCCACATATGGATAACGAGGCATGGGTTAAGGCTGTTGGAGGTTGCTCATCTAATTTCATGCTAGGGATTGGCTCCCAAGTAAATCTAGAGATGGTTGGATTTACTTACAGGAAGAGACAACCCCAAGAAAACTTAATAGTAGCAATGATGATGTCTGACTATAACGAGGCACAGGCAAAACGAAATGAGGTGTTAGAAAGACAACACCAACAAATTGCTGTAATGCAACAGTAGCTGGAATGCAACAGTAGCTGGCCCAGATGACACAAGCTCAAAATAATATGAGTCAAACAATTGCACAGTCTGTTGCAGTAGCCCTAGTCACTTATGGCATCTCCCCTCAGGCAGGTCATCATCCAGTTGCCCCACCACATCTGTCACATGGTCATGGCTTAGGTCTTCGCATGAATTTAGCTTTCACCTACTCCACTAATTCTACACAAACCTCTCATATGGTCCCTAAATATCAACAGTAGCAACAGCAGTTTCCACCTCAAGATGATGCATACCATCTTGTTTTTGATCCAAACTATTAGGGTCCTTAGCTTTTCTTTTTTTTTTCTGCCACGCACATTATCTGCACACTTTGCATGGTTGCCTTTATTTCTATTAGTCCTTTAAACTACTAGCTTTAGCTTTTCATTACAATATCTTATCCTATTTTGCTTGGCCTCTAGTGATCATTCTTCAAAAGGTATGAAGTTTTGGACTACTTTGGAGGTTAATTATTATAAACTGAATATCGTAGGTATTTAAGACAATGGTGTGTGATTGCCATACTTTGTGTTTGTGGTTGTGATTATGGTTATAGTTGAAAAAGTATAATTGTTTTTAGCATTATAAAGTTGTAGAATATATGTGTTTTTCATTGCAAATGCAAGTTAAAAAAATTGGTTTTGATCATATGTATGGGGAAACTTTGTCAAAATTTATAAAAAATTTATGCTAACTAAAATGACCAAATTACAGAAATTTTATTGAATAAATTTCAAGTTATTGCATTTTTTATAACAAAATTATAGAATTACAAATGCATATTTAAAAAAAATTACATTTTATCATATATGTGGGGGAATTTTGTCAAATTTCTTTAAAATTTATGTCCACTAAAATTATTAAAATGTAAGAAATTTGTTGGATAAATTCAGCAAATGGCATGAAAATGAACAAAATCTGGAAAGGAAGTTAGGGAAAATGGATGAAATCTAGAAAGGAAGCAGAGGAAATTTTACCTGCCACGCTACCAATAAGCTCCATCTCGGTAAGTGACAATTTCCAACATGCATCTTGTCGGCAAACTGAAGTTTCCAACATGTTTAGCCGGTAAAATAGCTTAACATACCAATGGGAAGTTGGACGGTAATTTGGGGTGCGAATTGCAAAATTTTTACTTTTTGGATTCCAGCCTGCGGTAACCTACCTATGTGATCTTTGTCAGTAAAATTAATACCGACAAACACCACATGGGTAAATTGGTTTATATATTCTGAGCCCACCACCCTGCCCGACTTATTTCTTCTTACCTTCCTTCTTATTCTTCTTCTTCTTTTTCTTCTCCTCTTGTTGTGACTCTTCTTTCTCTTCCATTCAATGCTGCTAGATTAATTGTTTATGCTTATAATTACAATATATTCATATAATTTTAGGTTTATATCTTTTCAATCTCCTCTCTTTTTCTCTACCATTTTTCTCTTTATTTAATTAAATACTAATTTGTGTTATTAATCAATTTATTTGCAATTTTAATTTTTCTTAATTTTGTTTTCCAGGAAACATTAGGAGATAATCAATGGGTAAGTAAATTTTATTTGTGAAAATTAACATTCAATTTCATTTATATGTTGATTAGAGCTATTTTAGGGTTGAAATTATATATAAATACTTTTCTTAGGAAATGGTGTTCTGCAAATCTTCATCTATTGAGGTAATCTTTAATTTTTTGGGTTATATATTTAACTTTGTCATTTTATTCTTATTTTTTAAGTTATGTTTTAATCTTTAATTTAAATAAATGAATACAACAATTTTTTGTTTACATTGTAAAATTTTCATATTATATATATTTATTTTTTATGATATTAAATATTATGAATTGCTTAATGTTTAATTGTAAATTAATTTAATTAAATAAAAAATATATATTAATATCAATATGAATTCAAGAATTTTTTTTTAATTTTTGCAAATTTATTTTCCAATGTTATCCTCGTCGGTAAGTAGGAGAAAAGAAAAATGGTGCCTAAAAATTCTAGCTCAAACTGCATAAAATGGCGCTCAAATTCTTGTAGTTGCAAACGTTATTTTAGTCGGTGAATTACAAATCTCGAGCATGACTCCCCTCAATGAATCACTAACATGGCTCAAATTGCAAAGCATCCCCTGTAGTTGTAGACGTAATCTTCGTCGGTGACTTCTAATTCTTGGACAGGATCCTCCTCGGTGAATTATTAGCATAGCACAGACTTTGAGGTACCTCCCTAGGTGCATATGTGATCTTTGTCAGTAAATCATCGACGTGGATTACCAGAACAGATTTCTGGTGTTACTATTTCGGTCTAATATTGAGAGATGTTTCTTGTCAGTAATTAGGAGTTAGTTTACCAACGTGATTCTCATCTACGTTGGTAAATGAATTACCGAGCCTGGTTTCACCAACAAAGCTATTTTCGACATAATCCAAGTTGGAGTGATGTTTTAACGACGTGATTACCTTTCTTTCCGACATGGTTTCTCGTTGGTGAAGTCATGAATTCTTGTAGTGTTAGTTAGTTGTTTGGGTTTATATTCTCAAGAATTACATAAGAGTTTGAGTTTTTCATTATTTTCTTATATTATGAAAAATCTCATAGTGATTGATTTAAGTAGGATTGGATACGGGCACTTATATGATTCATTTTCCCCCGCTAAAATCTTTTTATGCAAACTATTCAAGATAGTATATTATGATTGTAATTCGTATATGCCTATTAAAAAAATAGCCACTCCTACTAACCAAACAAACCCTATGTGATGTAGGAATAGCTTATGAGCCCTGTGTGAGTTTTTAAGTCTTGTGTGAGTTTATCTAGAGATTACAATCTTATGTGTAATCTCTATTTCTTATTTAATGAAATTTCAGACATTGCTATATATATATATAT